AAGTCTATCGCAAAAACTTGAGATAAGGCTCAAAATAAGATGGTGCATTTTAAAGTGCTTTGTAAACAAATGCCATACAAGTGCACCTGATTATTTTTATCCCAAGCAAATGGTGGCTTTATTTTTCAAATTTAGGAGGCAGGTGGAAAGAAGTGAAATTCACTGTGGAAATGTAATTTTCTCTCATGATTGACAAGGTTCCTGAGGCAAAATCCAGCCCTTGAAGCCACTGTCCTTTCTTTTCCAATACTTGCCCAGCTTCACGGTAGGGAGGGAGGGTGTGTGGATGAAGGAGGGATCTGTCATTCATTCAACAAACATGTCATGAGTACCTACTCTGTGCCAGGCACTGAAGGATACAGGGTGCAACAGGCACAAACCCTGCGCTAACAAAGCCCAGACTTTTTGTGAAGAGACAGAGAGACGATACTTCAATGTGATGAGCGTATGAGGACGTACGGTTGTCTGAAAGCTTACAGGACGCAGTGTAGTGGGGAGGGCAGGTGGCTTCTTCTAGAAGCCACGTGACATATGATCTGGGCCTAGAAGGTAGAGCAGGAGGCATGGCTGGAAGGCAGGCATGGGCGCAGTCCCCTCAGACACGGTAGATATATGAGAGAGCAGTTGCTGTTCCCAACTACTTAGACCACGGACATGGATCTCCTCTGTGGCTTCAGACAGCACCACTAAAAGTCTGGAAGTCTCCGTCTGCCCTCCTGTTGAGTAGGGAGAGCAACATGACTCTTAGAACCACTGGGAGAATGAATCAATTTATGTGGTTTGCAAGAGCAAGTGTTTAGTTACTAGAAAGTCCCCAGGGGGAACACGCAGAAGGAACTGGAACACGGGGAGGAGAACAAGCGGGGAAAACCAAGGGAAAGCGAATGAGATTGGACTCTCATTAGTCAGTGACGGATTGATCTTCTGTCACTGCTTTCCCAAACTCCCAGCAGTTTCAACTTAAACCTTGTTCAATAACTAAAAACCAATTTAAAGGCAATTTTTTGTGATGAGTTTTTTTTTAAAAAAATTATTGCATTAATCAAAAAATGCATTAAGTTTTAGGTCAAACGGTCTAACTGATAGGAAAAGCTGACTGGGACCCAAGAGCAATGGGCTTGCCTGGCTGAAGAATGTCATGTGAAGAACAGAAACCAATCAACGCCAAAGGGAAGAACAGTGGAAGGAGTCACAAGTGGCTCAAAGCCAAGAACCCTGCAACGGACTGGAATTGGAAGGAAAGCGTGAAGAGGGCTGATGAAGGTAGTTAGTATTAGCAAAACTCAGACATGAGAACACATCTAAAGCCTTCCGTTCCCAGGGGGGGGCTGCAATTAGCTTTTCATTGTGAGACGTGTAGCGCGTCATCCTTTCAGATTGCAGGTCAGTGAAACAGCAGAGGTCAACCTCCTGAAGACCATGCTGCTGGAGAGAAATGTAGCCAACAGAAAATAAGCCCGCTGTATCAAAACAAAAACCCGTCCTTCTATGATCAAATTGAACTGGGTCGTGAAATTTGCAGAAATAGCTTGTTTGGTTGGTGCCTACCCAGGTCCAAGAGCAGCTACGGTTGAAATAAGGAAACTTAGGAAGGTTGGTAAATTTGCTCATAGAGAAGGTGCTGGTTCTTCTGTATTTTGCCCCTCTCTGCTTTGCATCTGGAAGGCTAACTCTCATGGGCTGTGCCCCTAGGATCCCTTGTGGGTGGCTTTGGTGGGGTGTGGCCCACGGGAGACATCAGCAAGAGATCAGATGGTAGGAGGCAGGAGGCAGCACGTCCCTGCTCACTCCCTTCCCACAGTGGGAATACATCTGGGCAATGCCGGACACCCCATGGTGACACCTCCTGTCACGAGGCCCCTTCTTCATGGCTGCAGCTCACGGGCTTCACGGAACTCATTTCCTCCCCCTCCCTCTGCAGGCCTGGGGTGGCCATGGCTCCCCACTGAGGCTCGCTCTGAGGCTCTCGCCCTGTGCCCCGGCCTGCCTCTGCAGGTCATCCCTTCCGTGAACACCTCCCCCTGTGCCCATCTGGGTCGGCTTCTCTCCCCTGAGGGACTCTGATCGAATCAGAGATTCAGAAACACGGCGGCAAAGACCTCGGTGAGTTGCTTTCTGTTTTCTGGCAACCGCTAACCAGCAGACAACTTTTTATGTTTTGTTTTGTATTTTGTTGAGATGGAGTCTCGCTCTTGCCCAGGCTGGAGTGCAGTGGTACGATCTCAGCTCATCGCAACCTTCACCTCCCGGGTTCAAGTGATTCTCCTGCCTCAGCCTCCCAAGTAGCCGGAACTACAGGTGCGCGCCACCACACCGGCTAATTTTGTATTTTTAGTAGAGACGGGGTTTCACCGTCTTGGCCAGCTGGTCTCGAACTCCTGACCTCATGATCCGCCTGCCTCAGCCTCCCAAAGTTCTGGGATTACAGGCGTGAGCCACCATGCCTGGCCGGCAGACATCTTTTTAGTTTGTCTGGTTGGTTTGCTTTGTTTTCAAATAAGACGATTGGAGGCTGGCCCTGTGATTGGGAGCTAGAAGCAGGAAGGGCCTCGCAACCTGTGGGTCTAGCTGCCGGACCGCTTCGTCCCGAGTTCTTTCTGGGATGACCCTGGCGTGGATTAACTATACCTCCTCACGATTCCTATCGTACCAGTTGCTCGTGCAACTTCTGTGGCATCTAATGAAGCCACAGAAGCTCCATGGGAGCAGGGACGTTGTCTTGCTCTTTGTCCCGGGGGCCTAGAACCATGGATTTGTTGAATGAATGAAATAATGTCTCACCAGGCGCAGTGGCTCATGCCTGTCATCCCAGCAATTTGGGAAGCTTGCTTGAGCTCAGGAGTTCACGACCAGCCTAGGCAACATGCTGAAACCCTGTCTCTACAAAAAATACAAAGAGCAGCCTGGTGTGGGTGGCGTGTGCCTGCAGTTCCAGCTACTCGGGAGGCTGAGGTAGGAGAGTTGCTTGAGCCAAGGATAAAGAGTCACAGTGAGCCAAGATCACACCACTGCACTCCAGCCGGGACAACACAGTGAGACCCTGTTTAAAAAAAATGAAATAATGTCTCTTTATAGATGCTACCATCACTCAACAAACCATGTATTAAATGTCTATCCAGCAGATGTCGTCTTGGGCCCGGAGACGCAGGGACGCAGAGGGACACAGTCTGGTTGAAGAGATTCTGGCCTCTGCAACTTTGTCCATGTGGCGCCCTCTGCTGGAATGCCCTTTACCACCCTGTCCTGCTGTCCTGACAAACTCTGACCCACCTTCCATGACTTTTCCGGGGAAGCCTGGAAGCGTTATATATAAAGCTATAGAGTTGCTAAACTTTGGCTTAGCGTATTACCATAATGACGATACTCATTTTCCAGTAAGTGTCGCCCCATGGCTCCCCTGTGAGCCTCTGAAGGGAAATATATGTTTCAATGCATTTTTCGAGAGAGTCTGGCAGCTGCTTCAGCCACCCAAATGCTGAATTTAGTGTCTGCCAATTGACACTGTTTGCAGACACAGTTCCCTTGATATTGGACATCTACGCTTTAGGTCATCTCTAACTTTCTTTTTCCTATTTTTCTGAATCCAATATTAAGGTTTTAATAATTTAAAAACATTTAATTTGGGCTCCCTCAATCTTTAACACCACGGTTGGGTGGTTCCTCTTGATTGAAGAATGAATGGGATTAGAGGGAGGGTCAGGCACCTGGATGGCTTTAGGTTATGCAATGCTTCTTCTTCCCCTTACAGCTACTGTTTCCAAATAAATACTGTAGATGCCAGAGTATCACTTTGTGGAAGCCTCTGTCCATGTTTGCAGTCTCAGAGCATATGGATGCAAATTGCTAGACTAACTCAATTTCCCAGAGCCTCAGGTGTACCCGCCTCCATTACAGCGATCTTGAGGCAGGGGTCTCTGGGCCATTATTGCTTCTGTTGTCAGTACCTGGTGAGCTCGCGTTTGAATGTCCCTGAGCTAAAATAAAATCAACGGAAAGAGCATTTGCTTCTTGGGCTATGGAAATGGGAACTCAGTCCTAAATCCACTCATATCTTCATGGCTGGCAATTTAGGAGCAGATGAGAAGACCCAAATTCACCAGTCCTATTTATTTAGCCGTGCTAATATTGGATAAACTCATCTGCGGAATGCCATATTGGGATATACTTATTCATGCTCTGATTTTAGAGCATCCAGCTCTTTAACATTCTCTGCTGTAAAATTAAAATGTTCTGGAAGTTCTATGTCTGTTTATTAGGTTCCTATCAGAAAAATGACTAAAGGATTTATTTGCAAAGAGTTGGTGTTTAAACCCTTGTTAACATCTACAATGAGAGAAAAATAATGAGCAAATTCATCCACCGTGATGACATTTTTAACTCTTTTAACCTGCAGGTTTGGTTGATCATAATTCATAAATAAAAGAAAATGAATTTGTATTGTCCTAAGACTGAGATAGCACCTTACAGAGTGAGGCTCTGTCAGCACATTCTTTATTTAACGAGGACCGAAACACCAGTTAGCATAGGGCATGACGCTGCTTGCTAAAAGACAATGGTACCCTTGCATCACGTAATACTTCTGTACGTGCCACTCATGGGGGCATTTTCACCAGGGATTCTAAATTAGGGCATTAAAAAAATGGAAGTGGAGTTAGTATTGATTTCTCCGATTTAAAGGCTGTTAAATTGTTTTATTTCCCCTCTAAGGACTCCCTTGAAAATGCTCACATGCTTCATCCCCGTTCCATATCTGCCCAGGGAAAAGCTATCTTGGACACACCCCAAATGGCCATGGGGAAGTCTACACTGTGCCCCGAGGAGGGGAGTCATTCTGGGAGAAGCCATGGTCCCCATTCCCATGGCTACCAGTCAGCTACCAGTCTGCTGCTTGCTTTTTCAGAATGGAACTCTCTGTGACCTCCAGGAAACAGCTCCAGTCCCCAAGCCCCCGCACCGTGCCGGTAGCCCTGCTTGGAGGAAATGAGTAGGGCATTCTGTACCTGAGGAATTGTTCCTGAGGCTTCAAAGAGGGCACTGCAGTCCCCTTCATGATATGCTTCCTTACACTCCCGGCAGAAGGCGAACTGCAAAAGAAGGCACATCCGTTAATTAGGGACATGAGGTTGCATTTGGATATAACACATTTTCCTTTTTCCAAACACATTATATTCATTCCTCTGGCTTGTGCGAAGGTTTCTACATCAGATTACTTTTTTTTGCAAAAAGAAATCAAGTTATATTTTGATGTGATTGTCCACTCTTTACTGAAGAGTGTTCCAAGCACCAGAGCAGGGCTACAGAGACAATGAGTCACATTTCCTTCCTTCAAGATGTTTCCACTCTAGTGTAAGAAACAGTGATACGGTTTGGCTGCATCCCCACCCAAATCTCATCTTGAATTCTAGTTCCCATAATCCCCATTATGGGAAAGACCCAGTGGGAGGTAACTGAATCATGGGGATGGTTTCCCTCATGCTATTCTCGTGACAGTGAGTGAGTTCTCAAGAGATCTGATGGTTTTATCATGGGCTCCCCACTTTGCTCAGCTCTCATTCTCCTTCCTGCCACCATGTGAAGAAGGATGTGTTTGCTTCCCCTTCTGCCATGATTGTGAGTTTCCTGAGGCCTCCTCAGCCCTACAGAACTATGAGTCAATTAAACCTCTTGCCTTTATAAATCACCCAGTCTCGGGTATGTCCTTATAGCAGTGTGAGAACAGACTAGTACACAGAGAAACGCAAATAAACACCCACAGCAAAGCTTAATTGGTACTAGGATATAAGGAAAAAAACTTCATTCAAGGCATTCACATTCCATGTTTGTTTGTGTACAGAGAAGATTTCTAGGCCCATGTCAGTGGACTTACTTTAATATTGAAAGCGTATTACAGAAAAAGAAATGGGTGGCTAGGGGCTGAATTGTGCCCTCTCATAATTGATAGGTTGAAGGAGGAACTCAGAACGTAACTGTATTTGGAGATAGGGACTTGAAAGTGATAAGGGAAGCTGAGGTTGTTAGATGAGGTTTTATTCAATCTGACTGGTGTCCTTACAAGGAGAGGCAATTAGGACAGAGACACGGACAGAGAGATGATGGCCAGCATTCACCATGGGACTGAAGACGCCCAAGGGAGCAATGCCCTCTACCCGCCGTTTTACAGAGAAGAAAGCTGGAAGAGTGAGTGCCAGCTAGGCTTGTTCAGGGCTGTCTGTCTGGGATCCATGGACCCCTCCAGAAAGCACATCCCATTCTCACTGTCACCAGCCATGCTCCAAAGTGGCTGTCACGGCGGAAGGGTGGGTTAGCAGCGGAACACACTGGACTGGAGCTGCCATCCCATCCCCTGCCACCGGAAACACCTTGGGGAAACCGCCTTGGTTTCTGTGCCTTGGTTTCCCCCTTGGACATGCCAGGATAACAATGACAGCTATCTCATATGACCCCTGGGAGGGGTAGTGAGATAGCACCCGCTGAGTGGCTGCAACCACAGCAGACGATGTGTTCTAAACCTTAAGGAGATGGCACCAGCCAGGGACTATTTTGCCTCTACTCCAGTTCTGAGGAAGGAGTTTCCTCACCAGAGAACTGGTTTCTTTCAATGCACATTTCTTTAATCAGCAGTGGCCAACATCTCCCACAGCAGAAACTGTATTCAGAGAAGGCATTTCAGCAGAGAAGAGAGGTGCTGTCCACAAGTACGGTGTGCAGATGATGGAGGTGGTCTTGGGGCACAGAGGCAAATTGACAGTATCCTCTTTCCCTTGAGAGGTGGGCTTTACATCTCTTCTGCTGACAACCAGTTGTGTTGAGTACTTGGCTACTAGGATATGGTGGAAGTGATGGTGTACCACTTTCTAGGCCCAGGCCTCAAAAAACCACAGACTTCCATTTCCTGTTGGGATACTTGCTCTTGAAGCCCCACTGCCATATGATAAGGAAGCCCAACAGCCCAAGAGACGCCCACATGGAGAATTGTGGCCTCAACAACGGCCCTGTCTGAGCTTTTAGCAGACAGCCAGCACCAACTCGCCACCTCTGTGACTGGGTCATACTCCAGGTCGACTGCTGTTATTTGAAACCATTAAATCTTAGGGTGGTTTTTACACAGCAATAAATATCTGATACAGTAATAAATAAGAATATGATATGCTGAAAGTGATGTCTGGAAGATTCAAACGATTTTCAGAGAAGTAAAAGTTCTCAGACTCCTATTTTCTAGCCTAAGTCAGGAATTTCGCCTAGTTTTGCTTAAGACAGGTCTGATTTGAATTGAAAAACAAAAATAAAAACAAATAGGATATAAAACCAACTCTACCCCAAAATACAGCGTAATTCCTCTTTGCCTCAAAAAACAATAGCTTACCCAATGCCATTTTCCCCTCATGTTGTCTTCACCATGTGAACAGACTTTTCTCCTTCCCCATGTCCAATTTCTTGTTTTAAAAACTCATCTGAAAAGTATTTTAATCTCAGAACATCAGAAACAAAAAGGAAAAGCTTTTTATAAGGAAATAACCTCTTCAGAAGTAGGCCACAATAGATCTTCAAGCCATCACTTTTAGCATATGATATTCTTATTTCTTCTCCTAGCAGAGAGACTGAACTCAAATTTAGTGAAATGTAAACTTCATTTAAAGGTTGGTGGGAGAGCATGTGTGCATCAGAATGTCCTTCACCAACATTACCAGGCTTCGGTTTCTGACATTTTATTTTCTTTGAACTAAAAGTGAATTCACTGAATAGTGAGTTGGGTTCTAGGATTTTCTCCTATTTTAAAAAACTGTTATCTGTTAATACTTGGCCCTGCTTCACATTCATTCCTCTGCTCTTACATGCTTTGTTGGAAAATGTGGACGGAAGGCCCCGTCATAGAGAACTGGCAATGGGGTCTCAGCCTACTGCTTTCTAGAGAAGCAAATCTGATCTGTTGGCGTGACAGGGAAAACCCTTCACATCTTATTAGCTAGTGGATGAGATATAAAATCAGTTTCATGGTAGAGGAACACCCTGGAGGTTGATCAGTTTGTCAGAATAAATAGGCCTTTCCTGACACAAAGATATTAAATTCCCTTTCACACCAGTACTGCAAAGAATGGACTATGAGAAGTAACAGAAAGGGAAGATTGTGTCAGATGAAAGCCTCCTCACTTCAGCATGACAAAAGGCAAGTAAATGCTGCAGGAAAATTCTGGTGATGACGTCACAGAATACACTGGCTAATTTGCTTCTATTCAGAGTATTAATTTAAATTTAGATCTATCATGAAGTGGTCCTTCCCAATTAAGTGACATGAATCTGTCTCATACGCAATGAGGGAAACATCTAGGTCTGATTTGATCTCGGAAATGTTTGAGTTTTCAAGCACATTATCCAGAACTCGAGACTCTCAACCTTCAGTTCTTACGTTACACACCAGCGTGCCCCGCAGTGCCACAACAAACTCATAGGGGTGCCCTGGGATAGTCCAGGATTTTCAGTAAAACACAGCCTGGCTGATGAACACGATGTGATTTATTAACTCAAGGCAGTTCCCAGTGTTCATGTAGATCATGCCACTTTCATTTTTGTGGCATTCTATCTTTGCAAAGCTGGGTTTTTGGAAGTTACCAGAATAGAAAACAAGTACCATGTAAACATCCATTTGGAACAAAGATTTGATTATTTAAGAATCAATTAAAGCTCATTGTTTGTTTTTTTTTTTATCATGTGAATTATCATTTCAGATAACTATTCAGTTGCTAAGACATTAATTCTTATTATGTTATGTGGCCCTAAATCTTTCATAACTACAACTGTTAGGCATTTCTTTTGGCCTGGAAATGCCATGAAAAATGAACTGAGCTGCTAAGGGCATGGTGAACAGAAGTCTGGATCAGGCAGACACAAAACTCCTTCCTGAGACAGTGTTTGGGCCAGTTTGCAGACACTTCCCATGGCGTAGCTGTTTCTAGAGAAAGGGGAAGAAAGCCAACCTAGCTCCATCAACATATTCACATCCATTCTGCTGACCTGAATGTCTCATATCTGGGGCACATGAGTCTTGCTTTAACCAGCCATGTAGAAGGCTGAAATTTACACAGGGATTTGCTGTTACTTAAAAACGGACTCACATTTGCTGAGGCTCCCTGAAGATGCATAATACCTCTCCAAACCTTATGAGGATGCATTAGCCAAATGGAAGTTAGTGTACCAGAAACATGGAGTATTATTTATATAGTATATGTTTTCAGGATTATCTTCTCTTATGGTGGATCTAACAAATACCACCCATTTCTGTATGTTTCTGTAGTTTTCTTTTTTTTTTTGAGAATTTTTTATTTTTATTTTTAATTTTTTTTAAAGACAGGGTTTCACCATGTTGGTCAGGCTGGTCTTGAACTCCCGACCTCAGGTGATCCGTCCACCTCGGCTTCCCAAAGTGCTGGGATTACAGGCATAAGCCACCATGCCTGACCTTTTTTGAGAATTTTAAAATGTCTTTAAACAATTATAAAAGTAATACCTACTTATTTCGTTGGCTCTCTAAACTCTATTCCTTTATAGATTTGATTAGAAGGCAAATACATGGACTGTATCATGATAGCTCCTGTGAAGAGAGTTTTACGTATCAACTTGGCTAGGCTATGGGCCTCAGTTACTCAAGCAGACACGAATCTAGATGTTTCTGTGAAGGTATCTTGTAGATGTGATTAGGATCTATAATCCGTTGATGTCAGGGTCACCTTATGTTTGGGTGCCACTGTCGGGGTTACCACTTTTGGGGGTCTGTCCTCCAGACTTTGACTCAGTGACTGATGAATAAAGTACACTGACACACAGATATTATGCTTTGTTAGTTCGGCTGAGGATCTGTGGCCGCTTTCAGTCTCCCTGGAGAGTGCTGTAAAGACATAGCAGCTGCTGGCCTTCACTAGCTAGTGAGACTTGCACGTATTCAGTAAAGTTTAATTGACAAAGGCTGGAGTCAACATTACTAGAGGTTAAAGATTAAAGGCCAGGTTCTGATGCCTACAGCAAACACTGTTAATGGGTAATATCCTTGGTCAATCTCCCCTCAAGAGAGCCATTTGGAATGAGCAAAGGT